CTTCTACCACTTCCCCAGGGTGCTATAATGTGACGTGAAGCGCGCTATGTGCCTTCCCATGCTCGACCGGACGATTCAAAACAAAAAAAATAACAAAAAAAAAAAAAAAAAAGCACTATGTGCCTTGCTTCGGACACGTTTTGGAAACGCGAAAAACAGAAGCGCGCTATGTATCTTCCCATGCTTGACCGGATGATTCACAAAAAAAGCAAAAAGACAAAATGCGCTTGCCTTGTTTCGCACGCGTTTCAGAAGCATCTCACACTTTCTACCGAAGGATTCCGCCCCCAAAGGCTGTGGGGAGCGGGGTAGTAAGCGCGCTACACGTATCGGAAGTGTCTTGCGCTTTACCTACAGAAGGAAAAAAAAAGTGCCTCGTTTCGCGCGCGTCCCTGCCTGCACCGCCCCTCCCCAACACCCTTTTCCCACTAAAAAAAAAGGGCAAACGCGCCTTGGCCTCCTCCCAGCCTCGCCTTGCCCCCATCCCGCCTCTCCAAGACCGTTTTCTGCTGGGCCCACGCGAGGCATTACGCAGGGCCTGCTTTTCCATTTAATAGGATTAGCAGAAAAAGGGTGGCACCTAGGACCTTTGCCTAGGCACCCCCTAAAAAATGGTACTGCAAATTTTCCGCCATTTTTCGGCCAGACGGACAATGCCAGATGGTGCCAGGAGCCGGTTGGGCGGAATCAGGTTGGCACCTACAATAGCCCGCCAGGGCAGGGAAGATTCGGCCCCATTGTTGCTCCCACACGCTTTGTTGTTGTGCCCTCCAAGAGCAGCTGCCACCACCCATGTCGTCAGCCTTCGAAATAAGGAGCAGGAAGAGTGCGGCCATAGCAGTGAGAGGAGGACAAGGGGCGTGGAGGAGGGAAGAGGGAGGCCATAGAAGTGAGAGGAGGTGAGGAGTACAGAGGAGGGAGTAGGAGGGAGGAGTACGACGATAGCAGGGAGAGGAGGACGAGACCCGGGGAGGAGGAAGAAGAGGGAGGGGTATCACTATGGCGGCGCAGGGAGCAGGAGGACAAAGGGCGACAGGGAAGAAAGGAGGGACATGGATGAAGAGGAGGGAGAGGCGGTTAACGGAGGAGGGAGAGGCCGTTAACGGCGGAGGAGGGGCGAGTACGATGGCTGTGTTTTTCATGCTTCGTCTCATTTCCAGTCCATTTTCAACTTTTTAAGTCTTCTTTGTAGGTCTTTTTTTCTTCCCCGATTGGGATGTTTCAGGGGTCCCTGAAACCCATCCGAACAGTCCGGGTTCGGTATGGTCAGGATGTCTGGCGCCTGTCCTGTTTTCCGGACTTCCGGGTTGATCCCAACGTATGTTTCTGGTCTGGTTTCTGGTCTGGATTGGTCTGGTGTGTGGGTCCTCAGTTACAATGAAATGAACATCTCCGAACCCAGTCAGCCACTCAGCCAAATGTTTGCCACTCGTCCGAGGAGAATGTGCACAGCAGCATGTCAAGCCCCGTGCCAGTGCAATCATCACCTCTCACCTCACCTGCGGACAATCACGCCTCAGATGTCCAACCCTTCCGCAAGAGTGGCAGGCCTTCAGATTACCTCCCACAGGTCCTGTATCCGCCAGAGTGTTGACTTGAGTGCATTCGCGCTTGAAATGCCCAACCTGCACCAAAATCACAAAGACCAACAGTTCGAAAAGAAGTCGTGCACAATGAAGAAAAATGGGCAAACGTGAGCACACACACACACACACACACAAGGTTGGTGTGAGTAAAGTCAACCACTTTTCTCTCTAAGGGGGTATCGCTAACGCTGCGCGATGTGGTGAGTCATTATCCATCAGTCAAGTGCATCCTGGGCAGACTGTCTGTCAGGGTCCAACCTCCTGATGAGTCGGTTAAAGTCCGACGAAACAGTCTGCTTGGCACAGTCATGCTCTTTTTGAGTGTATAGCGAATATGACAACACATACACACACACACACACACACACACACACGCACACACACACACACACACACACACACACACACATAAAAGTCGGACAAAACAGTCTGACACAGCCATGCTCTCTTTGTGGACTTGTGCATGGCAAACCAAACACATGAGAAAGCAGACAACGACACAACACACATCCATTGACTTGTCGTTGACTTGCACTCAGCCTGTAGGTCGTTGCATATTTCAGTCTTCAGCACAACGAGCACACTGGTGGCCGCATTTGAAAATCAAACAATGTTGCTATTGTAGCAACGCAATCTAATGCAGGCCCCCAATAGACATTTCTAGGACGGTCCATGATACTGCTAAACCCTAGATCCCAAATCTCCTTGCAGGTTACTGGGTGGGTGATTACACACTCTAGGGGATGGTGAAATTTCAACAAGGAACGAAGCTGAGAGAGGGAGAGGGACGGGAAGGGGGAGGGGGAGGTGGAGAAGGGGGGGGGAGG